CATACAAAACGAAGGAGGTGGGAGGGGCGGCATACAAAACGGAGGAGGTGGGAGGGGAGAGGGGGGCTAGATGAATAAACTTGATTAACAATAAGATTTAGAGAAATCAAACCAAGAATAATCTAAAGCCTAATCTTTATCTTGCAAACTCATCTTTACACAAGATAAATCATTCTTTTTCAAACCGTTGGATCCATATTTCATATATTATCCCAGTATTTTTAACATGGATTTAAAGTGTTATTTTAATACGGTTTTATTCCACTTTAGTCTGTTATTTTTAACAAAGATTTAAACTGTTATTTTTACATTGATTTAAAGGGAGTGACCGGCCTTTTATGGTAGTTGAACTTAGAATGAATAGTATTTTGGAGAAATATTTAGGACTCATTTGAGGCATATAAAACGTTTTAATTATGTATAATTACTGAGTTTGAGCGCAATGTGAACGTTCATAATCGTCCATTTGGGTGGTTACGTTTAGAAAATCGATTTTTTTTAAATTATTAAATAACGACCACAATGACAACAAAAGCAACAAATATTCTACGAAAAATTAATTAATTATTTGTTAAGGGACAGGCTGAGAAAATAGAAACTAACTCTTATCATCGAAAATAAGTAATTTTATTTCGTTATTGATTTATGTAATGTTTCATTGTTTACAAGCATTTTCTGTAGACTTTCTGGAATTTATTTTGAAAAGACTACATTTAAAGAAATTTCCGAACAAATTCGTAAAGAATAAGAAATTTAATGAAATAATAAAAAATAGATAATTGATTCTAACATTGATTTATTGACAAATTTCTATTTAGATATATGTTCCTAAACATCTAATTGGCTTACTGTAGAATTTTTGATATATTTTTCGTCGTCGTTATTTAATAATATTAAAAAAATCGATTCTCAAAACGTAACCACCCAAATGGATGATTTTAAATGTCTCATAGGGTAAATGCATCCTAAAAAATTTTTCCACAATGCTACATTCTCAGTTCAACTACCATACATTGCCGGTCACTCCCTTTAAACTATTTTTTTAACATGGATTTTGAGTGTTATTTTAATAGGGTTATATTCCACTTTAGTTTGTTATTTTTAACATGGATTTTATTTGTTATTTAACACAGTTAACTTGTAAACCTTAAACTCGTTATTTTAAAGTGTTATTTTTTAACTTTGTTAATTTGAATTGGAAGTATTTTTTAATCTTATTGACAATTCTCTAGATTTAACCCATGTACCGAAACACATTTGTAACGCACACATTTCATAAATGCACAATAAAGCGACTTTAATAGAAAATTTTCAGATTTATAAACGAGGATATTTTCATCCCTTTTTATTCAGACAAAGTTTGAAGGTCAACAATCCCTTTTTAAAAACATCTTGTATTGAAGTTGGGAGTGAGTCATGTTGTCCTCAGAATCGTTTAATTGACTCAAATATTTCTATATTTGGAGTAACCAAAAACAGTCGTTTCATCGTTTAAAGGGACAATTCACAAATTTGAAAACGACCAAGAAGTTTTTTTAATAAATACTCAATCTTATTAATTTTAAAAAAAGTGAAAACATTTTTCAAAATAAATCTTAAACATTTTCCACAACATTTAGCGCCCGTGTCTGGTCTTCCGGGAACGGTCCCTTTAAGGCCTTGAAATATCTGAAGTCCTTTGAAAATCATAAAAAACTCCGAGATGATTCTTTTAAAAAACCATAAACCCTAAAACAGGTGTGTAGTGTAAGGGCTGGATCAGACAAATCTACATATTCTAATTTAATACAAAATAGATAATACAATCTTCAGTTTTGTTATACGTTATTTTTATAAACACTGCTTTATATGAGTTTCACAGTAAAGAAATAAAGTACTTTGCTTGTTTGTCTGTTTGTTTGTTGGTTCTAATAAACGTAAAAACTGCTGAACCGATGGAGCCCAACATTTTCGAGGCAACTCCACATGACCGCGAATATTTATAAACGATTTAAAATGGCGACGTTAAAGTTAAACTGTTGATAAGAAAGGTGGCGCGAGGCACCCTAAAATCCTATTAAACAATAAAAATCTTTGTTCACTTAAAATATTTAATGAGTTACAAAGAAAGAATAAACACTAAGTTGTAAGCCCTATGAGATTTTCAAACTGTGTTCTACCTTTATGTATTTTAAAAATTAACGGAGGAATATTATGTGTTAAGTAAATTATCTTTTTATTGTATTACAAAATTACTTTTTTTGTAAATTGTATACCAACAATTTTTATAACAAAGCTTAAGCGTTGTTATAAAAATTGAAACTAAACCTCCTTAACTATTAACAAAATTTCAAGTGACTCGCCATTTAAGGGTATCATGTAAACCTTTGTTAACGCAAAAGGGATGGAGACATCCTTGTTTTCTTTCTGAAATTTATGATTTTGATTGTGACAGGATGACTCTGTATGGATAATATCTCTATCTATGAGAGGATGAAGGATGAATGAATGACAGGATGACTCTGTAAGGATGATATCTCTATCTATGAATGGATGAATGATCAATGAATGACAGGATGACTCTGTAAGGATAATCAAGGCGAAGCCTGTCGTATATACGAGGCGGTATAACCGAAATCGGTTATTTTGCTAGCTGGGATATGTTCATTTGTATACTAATACTATTTTATGGGCAAATGGTGAAATTTTAGATTTTAGTTTGATTGAACATTTTTTAAGTTCATTTGCACTAAATATGTTCATTTGTACTACTCATGGGCAAACATGGTGAAATCTTAGATTTTAGTTCGATTGAACATATTTTTGTTCATTTGCACTAAAATATGTTCATAATTGTACTACTATATTTTATGGGCAACTGGTAAAATTTTATATGTTAGTTCAATTGAACATTTTTTGTTCATTTGCACTAAATATGTGCATTATATAGTACTAACATCGATTTTACGGGAACTTTTAGCTTTAGTTCGATCAAACATTTTTTGTTTATTCCCACTACAATTGGAACTAATTAATTAAATGAACCGAATTATGCTAGAATTTTAAAAAATAGTTCTCCACATGCTAAAAAAACCATGCCATGTGGTTTTTAGTTTGATTGAACAATTATAGTTGTTCAGTTGCACTAAACGTTAGTCCAAATGAACGTTAGTGCGAATGTACGTTAGTCCAATCAATCAGTAGTGCAAACGATACGACACCCACAAATGCTCTCGGACGCCCATGAATTCCAATCTTAGACGGGATTAATAAAAAATAATTCTACACATGGCTGGGATTTTTCCTAATGAATATTATCATATGGACTATATAATAGTTATTTTGAACATTAGTTTAAAAGTACGTTAAAGTCTAAATGAACGAATTAAATTCAATCAATCACGGAAGAAAAATAAGTAGATTGCGGCAATAGCCGAAATCATGGCAGAAATGCCATCCCTCTCTCTCAGGCGCGCAGTGGTTGGTTATTAATAGTTAACGCGGCATAAGGCATTAAACCGTGCCCAAAGTGCATGTGTTTTAAATTTCGCGAGAAAAGTTCATCGATTGTGCATATTATATTAATATCTGAATCACAGTACAATGTTTTATAAAATTCCGTTAAATATTTATTTCAGACTCAGCAATATTAGCTTGGCCGGGTCTGGTTTTGACAATTGTGTAAGTACAATTTTTTTATAATTTTCGGGTCAGTCCTAATGAACGATTTTTGGTAATTTCATAGTATACGATTTTTGGCCCCCCCCCAGGCCCCCCCTCCTATCAATTTTGTACATGGGTGTGACAGGAAGTTTCTTAACTTAACCTAACCCGTGGCCGCAGCGCTCGGCCCCCTAGCCCATCCTAGCCGCAGCGCTCGGTCCAGAAAGTGTCTTAACTAACCTAACCCGTGGCTGCAGCGCTCGGCCCCCTAGCCCATCCTAGCCGCAGCGTTCGGCCCAGAAAGTATCTTAACCTAACCTAACCCTAAATAACAAAAAAATAAATAATAATAAATTTGCTGATAAATAAATGGTCATGTACAAAATTAATAGGAGGGGGGGGGGCTGGGGGGGAAGTCGAAAAATCGTTCTCTACGAATATACCGAATTTCCTCTGCCCCTTCTATGATTTTTCCGTACTGTATTATTGGGTCTGTTCTAGAGAATTATTTTTGGACCCCGGCCCCCCCCCCCTTCTATAAATTTTGTACATGACCTTTAATTTTATGGTTAGGTTAGGTTAAGACACTTTCTGGGCCGAGCTCTGCGGCCACGGGTTAGGTTAAGTTAAGACACTTTCTGAGCCTAGCGCTTCGGCCTCATAGCCTATCCCAGCTGAGGCGCTGGGCCCCCTAGCCTGTCTTACCTGCAGCGCTTGGCACAGAAATTGGTTTTACCTCTGTACAGTTTTTAACAATACTAGATAATTTATAATTATGTTGAGAAATAGTTAAATAATGTAATAATGTAATACATGGATACATTTTGGCACTTCTGGCCCGTTAGCTTGTACTGGTCTTGGCGCTCTTTTGCTTTCTGTTCCCCCTATCACTTCACTTTTTCCCCTTCAACGTACCCCAATTTTCCATTTTTGTTNGGGTCTCGAAAAAAACTGGAATTATAAATGTGTTTTAAATCGAAATTTGCAACACTGGTCAGCAAAAAGAATTGTGGAGGTTATACCTTGCAATTTCGTTGAAGGTTATTTTTTAACCCCTAGCCCCTCCTATAAAATTTTGACTATTGACTTTTGTTTTAAGTTTACAAATGGAAATGATGATACAATCTCGTAGATTTGATTGATTGATTGATTTACGTTTATTTCTATGAGCCATTAGGCTGGCTCCTTAAATATTCTCGTAGATTTTGTCCACTTGATAATGTAAACATGGTTTAGTTGACATGTCGCCGCTAGGGCGCTGCATTTAGAATTCAATTTTATAAAATTAAAAAAAAAAACATCATTTATTTAAAAAATGATAGTGAGGCTTGGTGGAAGGTATGAGGGGGGGGGAGTTGGGGGAATGGGGAGGTGATCTTGTGAGGAAAGTAAGTTTAATGTTTTATCACTTTGTATGTTTTCACAAATCACCTGGTAACAAGTTTCTAACATCACACTCGGGCGGGGGAGGATTAGGAAGGTGGTTTGGGAGATTATGTTTACACAGATCACCGCTGCAGGTACAGTCGACATCTAGTTTGTTGACGATTTCTTTTTCGGCGTTAACAAAACTTCCGTTCTTACTTTAAAAATTAACAGCTAATTTGGAGTGTTTTCATGTTTAACAGTTGGAACTGTAGAAGGCTAAACAAAGTTGAACGCTCCAAGCCATAGTGGCTGCAGCGCTCTGGCCTGGCTTGCCTTTGTAATTATCGCAATGAGATGATGAATATTAATAAATGAATTTTGATATTGATAATGAATAATTGATATTTATGTATATTGCGTAATTCATGTGAATGCCCCGAGTCCCCGACCTCATCATTTTATTTAATCTAGAAAAGAAACGCAAAAATACTAATACGAGATTCTAAAAAAATGTTTAAATTATGATTTGTTACATACATATTTTTATGTATATCAAATTATATCATTAATTATTATGTTATTTTGAACATATATTTGTACGAATTTTAAATGAAGTATTATATAACTGTTAAAAATACATATGTCCGTTATAAATGTATATTTTTACATATTAGAAACCTATGAATATGCAAAATACATATATATGACCTATTTATTCTCAGGATTTCCTGGTTCTAGAGATGTTTATAGTACGAGGAGGGAGGGGAAGACAACTAGCAAAGGATGGGTGAGCAATTATATAACCCTTGGAATTCTGTTATTAATTATGTTGCGTGTTATACTATATAATTATTTAAGTTATTGTACATGGATATCCCAAAAAAAATGAGAGTCATTAACGATTGTACTGAATTTTAACTGTTTGCGTATATGATTTCCTGCAACTGTAAAATGGTTTATTTTTTTCCAAAGTAATTTTGAGTAATGAAGTAAATGTGATCAGTCCTTTAAAAACATTATTTTTTGTCCAATCTTTAATGAATGTTTTTAATTTTGAGATTAAGTACCCTAATGGCCTTTAGCCCTATAAAGGCTGAGGGGTTCAATCGATTTATAACTGTGGGTGCGCCCCCCTTGGAAAGGGCCTTACAGAATAGGTATAGGATTGAATATGCATAGCCAAATTGTTCAATGCCAGATCCCTGAAAAATTTGTGAATAATAACTTTAGCGGTTTGAAACAAAATGCCTTAAAAAGGTTTTGAGAAATAAAAAAAATTATTTTGTTTAAAAGAAAAAATCAAAGTGTAACACATGTTTCTACATTATTTTTCAATAACTTATGAAAAGTATTGTTTTCACTTCTATAGCTTTACTCACAAAAAATTTAGGCCTTTGTTCAAATAGTGAATTTTTTCCGCCCTGTAGACAAAAATATTCACAAAAAACAACGTTTTTCTGTTTTCTAATCCTCAAAGTTTCTATTACTAACAGTCACAAAGTTTCACCATGATAATGTCTAAATGAGGGGGGGGGGGGGCCCTAAGAGGCCCCCCAAGCCTGTCTTTGGTTAGAAGAAACTGAAATGGTAACAAGTTTTTTGTTTTAGATACCTGTACACTGTGAATAATTCCAACAATGGAGTTGCGTACTGGAGGTGTACTGAGCACATCCGAGTTCATGTGAGTTCTTTTATCACTAACACTTTACGGGTGTTCTTTAATTCGATCATATCATACTTCATTTCCTGGTAAATATAACTTGCGTTTTTCCGTATCGTGCTTTGTTAACGCTTCAAGACGGAAACAGACGAAATAAACCGGAAGCCTGTGAAATGATATTTTTTTATGCGTTTCTACCTTTTGCATAAAGTGTTCATAAATCTTTCAAATCTTATTTTTAGATAAATTTCCTATTTATGAAGCTAATAAATGCTTAAAGGCGTTGTACTGATGTAGATATGTAGAGTGACTTTTTATTTAAAGAATGCCACCGTTTAAACCTTCATAGCTGAGTAACAATTAAACAAAATCATTTTATTTTATTGTCGGGAGGCACAAAACTTGGTTATTTCCTAGTATAGGATATTTAGACCATATCTAGACTCCCTGCCCCCACCCCTCCTATCAATTTTGTACATTAATCTAATATGTATCATACATATTATTAAAATATTTGGAATATAGATTCACAACTGTACCCTTTAAATATTTGACTTCAAATCAGAGACGTATTAAAACTATGCAACTGAATAAAAAAAATAACGTGAATTCAATGAGAAAACATTATTTTTTATTTTTTGGACTACTGGAAACAGTTAAAAAAACGTCCGAACCAATCAGCTAAGTGAGAATTTATATGTTTCAAAGAAAACTGGAGATTGACGGAGAAATTGCTGAAAACCAATGAAAAGAATACTGTGAAAACGCCTTAAAAAGTTTTGATGTATTCCCGATAAATTTTGTTTCTATATCTGTATTCAACATGAGATATAAATAATAAGTATAAATAGAGTTTACTTTTGGTTTTTACCATTCAGAATGTTATACTTAAAGGGAGTGTTGGCGAAAAATGAAGGGGGTATAGGCTTATTAATTTATATTATTTTTTGACGCATTCGTATATAGTTAATATTTTATAGTATTTTTGATTTTTTTTGAAAATTATTTTCGCTGGCCTTGTATTTTCAAACGTTCCTGGAAAATATGAAAATGTCGTCTTCATTATCAAAAATCCTCGAAACAGGGATAAATTTTTTCAAAAGTAACTATCCGATCATGAGAAATAAAAAATTATTATGAAATATCAACTATTTATGAATGCGTCTAAAAATAATCATGACTAGTGATTGTAATAGCTGAATGATTTGTTTGTGATTAAATTGATTTGTTTACGATCCGAGTTTAATGTTGCATCTTTCTAAATTTGTATGAACACTACGTTCTTCGGTATTAGTCGTTTTTCTCCTTATGACGCAACAGCTAGAAGTAAGATTAGTACCGATCAAAACCGCTTTTTTATCGCATTAAGCCTATACCCCCTTTATTTTTTCGGTAAACACTCCCTTTCATGGATACAGCAGTTTCATTTTTTTATTTAGTGCCCGGGAACAGTAAAAACAAGAGATGTTGAGAACCTTACGGATGCCGAGTTTATCGGGGTGAGATTTTTTTTAAATGGAATTAAAACATATTCCAAAGAAAAAGTTTAGGTGTTTTACTTTAAAGCTGATGGTCCATTTCATGCAGTGTAGTGTCTACACTTTAAATTACAGGTAGACATTCTGGCCTCATTCCAGGGGCACAGCTGGCCTTCTGGCTGCCAGCAACCTGGAATGTATAGTTTGATCACGAGCATTCAATTTCGGCGATAGTCCTGATATATTCCAGGCCGCATGTGTGGGGGTTTCATGTCAGGTTTCTATGGAGATCTTATAATTATTTATTATTTCTTAGCTCACAAAATGTTTTGATGGTTGCTTTTGAAAAATACTTATTCTAAATTTCAAATTAAGTGACATGAATTATTTTTAGCTCAAGTAAAAGAACATTTATGATAAATAAACGTGATAAAGATTTATGGAGGTAATCTTGGCCCCCTGAAATTTTTGACCCCAGTACCCCTTCACCCCCTATGAATATTCTTCACCCCCTGTACCCTTATTTGCCCCTCCCTATAACCAAAACTTCGACCCTGTAATTTTGTAAAGGTGTTGGAAAAATTTTTTAAATTGATCAAAAATTGTTGTTACTTAGTTTTGGTTAAACAAAAAGGTGATGGTGGAGTTGGCACATTTGATGTAGGGGGGGGGGGGCCTGCCTTCATTTTTGGTTCAAATCTTCCAATTTTTTGGGTGCACGCCTAATTAGGGTTCGAAATTCCTGTAATAAAATAAAATTTCGTTAGAGGTCATAAGATGGTTAAACACTGGATTTGTTGCTGCTACTGTATTCCCTGGGTTCCTAGCTTTCGTTTCCCCTTTACTGAAAACAGATAAGATTTAAAACAAGGATAGAAACCTTAAGGTGGAGTAAAATTATTCCTTTGGTCCTCATAAAAGCTCCATTTGTTTAAAAATGTATACCCATTACCCAATAATAATGAATATTTGTTTTTAGTATGGACACCCTCACAACCATCCACCTGATCATCAGGCCTTGATCAACTGTGTCTTTATTGGAGAGATAAAAGAGAAAATCAGAGAAGACCCTTCAAGGAAAATAAGGTATTTTTTTCGTTATTTCTTGATATAGTTTGAATATTTTTGAATATTTTTGAATAAATGGAAACCGCCTTAATATACTTCATTATTACATGAAAGTAATTACAACACCAGCATGTTTTTATAATACATTTTTACTGTCACTGCATGTAATCTAACCGATTTCGGGGGGGGGGGGGGAGTGTTAAAATATTGTAATACCATTCCAGAGACTTTGGAAAGAATTTGAGCCACGACTAAAATTTAAGCCGCTGGTAAAATATGGTTGGTTTCACTCTAAATTGTATTCAATGTTTCAATATTTAAGCAGGCGTTCAATTTTGGTAGATTTAAGCCGTGGCTGAAATTCATTAAATTAGGACACAGGTAAGGCAGATTGAAAGCAATGGAAGCCCGGGATAAAGAAAATAATTCACATTTTCAATGTATTGGTCAATTAGCAAGTACATGTTACAATATATTGCACAATTATAAACCATTTATTAATGCTCAGTGAGTAGCATGTATGAACTCTGAATAGTCCTTAATTTATGTAGTCCAATGAAAACGATCTTAAACGTAGGAAGTCCCTGAAACTTTGATTGATTGATTGATTGATTGATTGATTGATTAATTAAAGGAGATAAATCCCTTATTTGTTTGTTAAAAACTGGTTTATTTTTTCAAATACAAAGTTGAATTAAATTTAAAATGCTTTTGTTCACTTGTATCAGTTCAAGTTTAATTGCGGTCGCGTATACTCTGCGTACAAATTAAACCATTTCGCTCTGGGCGAAATTTGTAAACAAGAATAGCTGGAGTAGTGTTCGTTTGATATCTGAGGAGGTGAAAAGCCTTAAATTGTGATAATTTTGAAAATGAACAAAATAGTTTTCTATGACCAGAATTCTTCATCGATTATTTTTGTGAAAATGGATTCCATGTAGGTTGTTACATAAATCTTGTCTTTACTTGTCTGATTAAAGACTGTACACTGCAGTTAAAAAAATGCATACACCTCTGAATAACGTTCCTTGCATTAGTACCTTGACTTGTATAAATTATTTGTTGTTCTGTAAATTAATTAAAGCAAGTTTTGAACAAGAAGGTTATCTGATCTTTTTGGAATTAAGGTAGGCGAGAATGAAGTGAATTGTGAGAAAAAAAAGAAAATGTAAAATTGTTACCGATTTTATGGAAGATTTTGATTCCTTAGTTTTTGTATTCCTTTTGTATTACCAGAAATGACCTGTTTGACAATTTGTTGAATAATATTTGGGCTTGTTTTTAAAATGTCCAGTGTCTTGAAAGCATTCCTTTTGCTACTAAAGATATTTTTAACATGATTTCTTATTTTGAAGGTCAATTTGGAATGAGCTGTGCGCTCGCCCCGGACAAAATCCGGTGAACATAAGATACAGTGATGCCAGGTAGATATTTCCTTAAGAGCCCTTTTCAGCATGAAGTTAATTTATGATGCCAATGCAAGATCAATTTAGTTTGAATTTTACCGAATATTAGCATTACTACAATTAACTGTTAATAGAATATTAGCAATGGAAATGATGATTTTAAATGACAGCTTATGAAATAATTACTGATATGAAAAGTACAATTAAGTAATTATTTAAATATTCAACTGTTTAATCCTTGAAACTTCAAATCTAATGCAGTTCAAACAGATCAAGCTTTTGAGGATACACTTGTAAATTGTAATATTTAAAGGTCCGGGCTGTTTAAACACCGCAGGAAATTCTATCCACGCTCTCCCGCATCCTGGTTGGACATTGTTCAATTACCTGGAAGTTGGGGCCACACTTCCAGTGGAAGCCGATTCCACCTGACAACGAATGTAAGTGCATAATGAGTTATCAGTATGGATGATAAGTATACATGCATAACCCATTGAATTAACCGAAAACTTATTAGTTAACATTATAAAAAAATGTCAGGCATGGCGAAACCATATTTTTTATTTATTAAACAATTTTTCGTCAAAATTAACTAATATTCTTTTTCAACAATTTGCAAATTACAATCATAAAGGTCAAATCTTTTTAATTTTTTTACCTAACCCTCTGAAATGCATTTATAAACCTTGTGAAAAAAAATAAATTGCTCATTTTAACACTCTTTAAAGTAGATTTCGAAATCTTTATTCTTAAGTATTTAGTTTGTAGTTTTTAGGCCTTTTAAAAGAGATTTACCAGAAAAACATCAAACTGAAATAAATGTTTGCAGGTCCAGGAACAGTACATAATATTCGTGAGCCGAAATGGTTTCAATGTTCTCTCCAATACTAATGAACTCTTCATGGATGGTACTTTCAAGTAAGTTTTTTATTTAAATGAAAAAGTTTTGTATAAGGGTCATGGTGATTGAGTGCCTCGTAGTATGTATATTTAAATTTTTTTTAATTTCGGAAGCATATATAAAGTGATTAGCAAGCCTTAACATGCAGGAGAGGGTGTTTGCTTTGACAATTTTTAAATTTGTTGTTTTTTTGGTAAGCTCAATCTTGACGAGAGAAATTATTCATTATAAGTAATTACACAACTTACAAATGACCACAAATATAATTATTGGCTAGTTTATAGGTATATGTGCAAATGTTAAAACCATTATAAATTGGATTTAAAGTGTAATTTTCTTTTAACAGATCTTGATTGACCGATTAATAAAAACAAATATACAAAATGTTGTTCATAAGGATATGTCCTTGTATATTGTATTTCTGCAGTGATAGCTTTCAGATTAAGTAGGAGCTTGGTCCAATAATGTATCTCACAGGATTTAGACAGACATAACATTTATGCATTGCATCTTCAAGATTAAATAAATTCCGACTTATGAATGCACAATACAAAAGTTTTAATCTCCATGTCGTAAATAACTAATATATTTAGGATAAAGACAAGACAAGACAACCTTAAACAATCTCTGATAAATGTTTGACAGACATGATTTTGTTTTCTATTGCATTATATTTTATCCTACCTCATACTCCATGATGTACAACGTTGAAAGGGAGTGACCGGCATTGTATTTTGGTTGAACTGAGACTGCATTATTGTAGAGAAATTATATAGGACTCCTATAAAACGATGTAAAGGTCTATGATGATAATATATAATATGTAAAAATCTATATTATTTCTTAGATCACGTCCACGTGTTCTTGGGATTGCGCAGTTGTATATATTGATGGGAAAATTTCAGGTAATAATATTTAATTTTGTTATTGAAACCTCTCATATTAGATAGGCTTTTCCAAGATTTGACAATTTGACAACGTTTTTCTATGATTTCTTTTTAAGAAATAATTTAATACTTTAATTAAGAAAAGGTTCTAAATTGGTCCAAGCCCCCAAACCTTCTGAATTGGTTAGGTGGCCGAGGGAGTTATCCACAAAGAGGATACTACAAAAAATATGAAAATTAAAAAAAAATTGCCAAGGCTGGCAACTTTAATTGTTACTCATTTTTATGTCATTTGGCCAAGAAATGAACAAGTAAACAAATGTATGTAGACACCGAATATTACAAGAATTAATGCAATATAAATGGTGTATACTCATCTCTGAAGTCTCATTTTTTTAGAGTTATTCTTAAAACCATTCAAGGTCCGGTTCGTGTATGACATAATTGTTGTCACATGAAATTGTAAACAAAACGTAGGGGCAGTGGATCCAAAACCCCTCAACTATTCTATATGTAAAACTAGTTATGTTTAGGGCTTCAATATTCCAGCTGCCTTCATTCTGGTGGCGGGCAAAACCCAGGGTATTTAATAACTTAATAATTTAATGAACCAATATTGGGGGGGCCTCAGCACCCCTTTGGATCTGAGAACCCCCTGAAGTCAATAGACTTCACTAGTCCAGGGGGAGGGGGGGAAGCCCTCCCCCCTGATTACATTTGTGACAAATATGTCAATTGTAAAACATGCAAATATTCATTCTATTAATTTAATAAATGAAATTAGAGTAACAACTTTTCTGTAATTAAGCTTTAACCTTTAACAATGAACAAACCGTAAATGGGATCGGGTTATAATTATTGAAACAATGAAACAATTGTTAAACAAATTTAAAACTTTCTAATCTATTAATGCTTGAATAAGAATTATAAATGTTTTTTTTTATAATTTATGATATGTACCTAAAAATGTGTGAATGTTTCAACATGTTTTGAATCTTTACCTTTGGTTTTTTTGTTACAAGTTAATTTATAAATTACTTCAGCGAAATACGAAGCTATTTTTCGTGATATCACTCATCATGCCAACCTTAGAAACTTGCCAATTCATCCAGGCTTAATTGTGACCGACTTTGAGGTAAATTGGTTACAATCAATTAATAAAAGAAAGATGGTGGTGGGGTGAGGGGGAGGATCAAAAATCCTAGCAAGAATGTATGCACTATGATTTCGTTAAAAAATATGTTTGAATTTTTTGTTATTTAAATGCATTATGGGTGTTCATTTTTAGGGTCACTTTTGGTACAGAGATGCAAGGTCGCCAGAAAGTTGCAAAATTTTGCAAAATTTTCAAAAATAGTTTTTAAAAAATTCTTAATTTTTTTTTTTCAGGGTGCGCCAATTGATTAAAATTTCACCTTTTTTCTTTTTTTTTCACAAAACTTGTAATATGCCCATCCCTAATTTGGATATCAACATGCATATGAGTTATTATAGAGATAAACATGTCTAGAATACACACACAAGAAATTAAAACCCTATCTTGACTGGAAAGGTGGGCGCCAAATGGTTTCTTGAACTACTCAAAAACAAAAATAATCAATCAATCGATATTTTTCAACATTTTTGGCGCAAGTACTTCTAACCAAGGTAGGATGTTAAATTTTTTTGTATGATCAAATTAGACCATTTCAGATAATATATCTGGACAGTATCATCACAACTTGTCGGGGGGGGGGGCGTGTCCCCCCACTTTTTAGTAAAAATGGAAGAATTAAATCATAAAAACTCCTCATATACAGTACATTTGTACTTGGTTTAATGCAGTATAGTAGGCAGATA